TTTTTCTGATTTTAACTCAAACAAGAGTTAAAGAGTTTGTCTTCAATTTCACTGATCCTATCTTCCATTGTTTCAAACCTGCTCCTCAGTCCTTCTATGACACTGTCCATTTCTGAAATCTTCTTGTTTATGTTTTGGATTTCTAATTGTTGTTTCCATATGATTTCTAGTTGTGAATTTATTTTTGCATTTTGTTCCTGTATTATTTTTCTGAATTCCTTTTTTTGTCTATATTTTCCATGAATTTGTCATCTTTTCCATGAATTTGCCTATTTTTTCCCTCATTTTTGTCTGCTTTTCTTCAACGCTTGGATAGCTCTGAATATTAGAGATTTGAAATCCCTATCAGGTAGTTCTAGTGACTTTTCTTCTACTGGAAAGTCATCTGGTGTTTTATTTTGGATGTCTACTGGAACTATCCTGCTTTTTTATATGTTTTGATATTGTCTGCTGTCTTTGGGATATTCAGTAGTTAATTTCTTCATTTATTGATTGTAGATTTGTTTGTTTCATCCTTTTTTCTTTTATTTGGTTATTTCTGTGTAGGCAGGCTGTGCATTCTTTGTTGTTTGCTTGTCTGTGGACATGGTATTTTTCCCCTCCTTCTCCAAAGGGCAGGTCCAGCCAGAGTGGATGGGCTGGGATGGGTTGTTTGTGGCACATACCGGGGTTGACAAAGCGAGCTGGGGGTCAGTGCAGGGCAGGTTCCGGTAGGCCATGCCTGTGCTGCTCAGGAGGGCAATGTTCAGCACATGATGCAGACAGGCAGGAGGGAGGAGGAGGGTGAGGTTGTGATGTGTGGAGCTAGGTTGGGTATGGGAAAGAAGAGAGAGACGAGAGAGAAATAGGAGCCAAAAAAAAAGTGTTGTGGGACGTGCCATTGGATTGGAGAGATGAGAAACTGAGAAATGAAGAAAAACAAAAAGAAAAAAAAGAAAATAAAAAAAAATTAAAAGGCAAAAAAAGCCTCCAGGGATGCCACTGGCACAGCTGTGTAGACCGGGGAAGTGGTTCCCAAGCCGCACAGTACAGCCTGGCCAGAAGGGGTGGAGATAATACACAGCGCCAGGTATTCAGGAGACAGGAAAAGAAACTAAGTAGAAAAGAGACTAGAAACTGAAAATGAAAAAAATAAATAAAAAGGAAAAAAGAATGAGAAAACAAACAAACAAAAAGAAGAAAAAAGCCCCCAGGGATCCCACTAGCGTGGCGGCATGGACTGGGAAGGCAGTTCCCCAGCTGAGTAGTGCTTCACAGCCTGTCAAGAAGAACCAAAGATGGCATACAGAGTCAGATGTTCGAGAGAAAGGAGGGGGAGGAGATGAGAGGCAGAGAAGAAACTAAGAGAAGCCAAAAAAAGCAACACCAGCAACAATGAAATGGCACTGAAGAAGCCAGCTGGTGTGGGCGGGGCAAATCCGCACAGCACGAAGCCCGTGCTTCTCATGCTGTGGTCGTGACCCACTGGGAAGCAGCAGACCACCCTCTGGGAAGCAGTGAATTGGCCCGCCAGGAAGCCACAAAGGCCAAGCAGGGGGAGGTAGGGTGAAGGGTGGGAAAGTGTGTATCGCCGGTTACTGGGTGTTCTAGCTCCTGCTGCGAACTCCGTGAATCAGCTTTCCTGTACTCCCTGTCCGCCTATCTCTAACAGGAGTCCAAGATGGTGGATCCATGCTGTGTTAGCTGATAAGGGACCTCCACTGGTAACTCTCCTCACCCTCTGTTCTCTGTCAGTTTCTTATTCCATTCAGTGTTTGGTTGAGTTCATTTATCTCTTCATTTGATGCTTAGGGTTCCAGGACTGAAGTTTTGCTTAGTTTTTTGGGTCTTTGCTGTGGAGGGACGGCGTGGTGCTTCTGTCTATAGTGCCATGTTGGCTCCGCCTCCTCCTACAGATTTTAGAGATTAGACCTTTGTCAGTTATATCATAGCCAAAATTTTTTTCTCAGTCTGTAGGTCCTCTTTTTATTCTTTTGGTGAAGTCTTTTGATAAGCATAAGTATTTAATTTTTAGGAGGTCCAGTTATCTAATTTATCTTCTGTCATTCAATCATGTATTTTTAGTTGTGTTTCACGGGCTATTTATGCCAAAAATTAGGTCCCCTAGTTTTGTCCTTATGTTGTCTTCCAGGAACGTTATAGTTTCAGCTTTAACATTTAGGTCTTTGATCCAGTTTGATTTAGTTTTTGTGCACACTGTAAGGTATGGTTCCTGTTTCATTTTCCTGCAAATGGATATCCAGTTTTGCCACAGCCATTTTTTAAAGAGTCTGTTTCTTCCCCATTGAATGGACTTTGACCCTTTGTCGAAGATCAGCTGCCTGAAGATGGATGGATTTACTTCCGGCTTCTCAATTCTTTTCCATTGGTCTAAGTGTCTGTCACTGAACCAGTACCAGGCTGTTTTGATTACCTTAGCTGTACAGTAAGTTTTAAGACTGGGAAGTTGTGAGGACTCCAACTTTTTTGTTCTTTAATATTGCTTTAGCTATTTGGGGCCCGTTTCCTTTCCATATAAAGTTAGAGATCAGTTTTCCCATTTCATTTCATTGGGACTGTATTGTATCTATAGATCACTTTTGGCAGTATTGACATTTCCACAATGTTAAGTCTTCCAAACCATGAGCATGGAATGTTTTCCATTTATGTAGATCCCTTTTAGTTTCGTTCAGTAGTGTTTTATAGTTTTCCTTGTATAATTCTTTTACATCCCTGTTGCTGTGGTTAGGTGCCTTCAAGTCAGTTCCGACTCATAGTGACCCCATGTACAACAGAACGAAACACTGTCTGGTCCTTCGCCATTCTCACAATCATTGTTATGCTTGAGCCCATTGTTGCAGCTACTGTGTTGACCCATCTCGTTGACAGTCTTCCTCTTTTTCGCTGACCCTCTACTTTACCAAGCATGATGTGCTTCTCCAGGTACTGATCCTTCCTGATAAGATGTCCAAAATATGTGACATGAAGATTCTCCATCCTTGCTTCTTAGGAGCATTCTGGCTGTACTTCTTCCAAGACAGATGTGTTTGTTGTTCTGGCAGTCCATGGTGTATTCAATATTCTTTGCCAACATCACAATTCAAATGTGTCAATTTTTCTTTGGTCTTCCTTATTCATTGTCCAGCTTTCCCGTGCATATGAGGTGACTGAAAATGCCATGGCTTGGGTAAGCTGCACCTTAGTCCTCAAAGTGACATCTTTGCTTTTCAACACTTTGATGAGGTCTTTTGCAGCAGATTTGTCCAATGCAACACCTCGTTTGATTTCCTGACCACTGTTCTCATGGGCATTGATTGTGGATCCAAGTGAAATGAAATCCTTGACAACTTCAATCTCTTCTCCATTTATCATGATGCTGCTTTTAGTTCAGTTGTGAGGATTTTTGTTTTCTTTATGTTGAGGTGCGATCCATACTGAAGGCTGTAATCTTTGATCTTCATCAGTAAGTGCTTCTGGTCCTCTTCACTTTTGACAAGCAAGGTTGTGTCACCTGCATATCGCAGGTTGTTAACGAGTCTTCCTCCAATCCTGATGCCATGTTCTTCTTCATATAGTCCAGCTTCTCGGATTTTTTACATCCCTTGTTGGGTTTATTCCTAGGGAGAGGTTCTGGTCTCTTAAAGGTTTTGGGAAAGCTTTTAAAATCTTGCATTAGTAGAATCAGAGAAAAATCTTGGATGAGAACTAAATTGTATTTTTCTGATTAAATGTCTTGCAATAACTTTCATTAATTCTTAGAAAAAGTAGAAGGACAAGGTTGACAAAGGACAGTGTTGATATGTTGTGGGGTTGTTAACCACTGTTATAGGGCAATATGTGTACTGTTTAATGAGAAACTATTTTGTTCTGTAAACCTTCATCTAAAGTACAAAAAAAAGAATTATCTATGTGAGATCAAATTGACAACAGCAACTCAAAAGGTTTGATGGGAAGCCTAGGGGACAGTGAGTTGAAGCCAATGGTGATGGAATAATTTGGAAAAGGATAGTGAGAATAGCAGCACAACAGGAAGAATGTAATCAATGTCAATGAATTGTACATGTAGAAATTTTTGAAATGGTGTATCTTTGGCTATGTATATTTTCACCAAAAAAAAAAGGGTCCTCCAAGGTTGAGAGGGGGGAGTGTTGACATGTCATGGAGTTATTAACCAATGTCATAAAACAGTATGTGTACTGACTGTTGAATGAGAAACTATTTGTTCTGTAAACCTTCACCTAAAGTACAATTAAAAAAAAAAAAAAAAAAGTAGAAGGAAAAAAATAAAAGTCCCTTCTTCTGTAATTGGCTGACAAAATTAAAGAGCCAGTTCTGCAACCTATTTCCAACAATCTTTAAAACTGTTTTTGTAAGTGTTTTTAAGTCATTTTGGAGAATATTCATATATCTAGATTTTTCTTCTCTTCAGCTTGGCAGCTCAAGGAGAGTGTGAGATAAGATCCAGGTACCCTTTTATTTTATATTTTGCCTTATTCCATTAGTTTTATAAAGTGTTATTGGTAACTTTCCCCACCATCTACTATTTAAAACAATGAAACAGCATAGAAGATACAAAAAAGGCTTGTTAGGTACCTCTACATGGTTGGAATTGCCTTTCATTCCTTTACACATCCCATACAGTTGCTAGTCTGATATAGGGGGCTAAGCGATCCTAGACTAAGTGTTAAGACCTCTCACTACTGGCAGTCATAATACCTTGACTTTTCCTGTCTTCTTTTAGATGGGAGGTAATAAAGTTCCAGTTTACTAAACTGAAGCATTAGTTCTGAGATAATTTGTTTCTGGATGTAATTAAAGATCCTGGGGATATACAAGAAGAACCTAATCCTTCTGACAGAACCCACTAAGGCCTACCCCCAGAACCTTGCTAGACTCTTTCCATCATCCTTTTTAATTCTGATAGTTCATGAAATAATCAGGTATGGTCTAGTAAGGACATGGTTCTTTATTAACTTATCCAAGTACGTTTTAAATTCCTGTTTCTAGGGTTAAGTACTAACCAATCGGCTAATTTCCTCTTGTCTATCTGGCGCAGATCTTGCTGTTGCCTTGATCATAGTGGAAGTCTGATTGTCCGTTAGCTTCTTGATACATCGTTGCCCTGCCACAATATTACAGACCTACAAATGAAAAAAAGTTTTGTACTAGATGTATCTTTTTTTTTTAGCTGTCACTCAGTGCCAATTACATGTGAAATAAAAATTTAAAATCTGTATCATTAAACGTCTTATTTTTAATATCATGTTAAGTAAAAAAGTAGTAAACGAAAAAAGTATGACTGTAATTAGGTAAAATGTGCACTATACGTAAAGACTGAAAAGTAGTGAACCAAAATGCTAATAGTGGTTACGTTAGCATGGTAATATGACAAATGAATTTTTTTCCATACAGAAAATTTAGAATAAATTAAATTCTAAAAACCCTTTAGGGTCTTTTATGGCTTATAACCTACCTTAAACTTGCTCACATTTATTTTGGAGACTGAGTATAAGGTAGGTTATAGGCCATAAAAGACCTCAAAAGAATGATGACTAAGAGGATATTAGGCAGCCTAAAAGCATTACTTCTAATGGAAGATAGGTATGTTTCTGCTCCTGCCCCACTTGCAGACAGGGAAGATGCGGGTACTTCAGCTGAAGAGTATACTTTTCTCTGAAATACTGTGCAACCGTTCTCTCCACAGTTTGGCCATTTTCTAACTGCAAAGGAAAGCTGGGGGGATAAAAACAAAAACACACAAACATATTATTACCAACTCTTATCCTATTATAAGCCAGCAAAACTCCCAACTGTCTAACTAGAGCAAGCTGTCTCACATCAAATCTGCTCTGACAAACACCAGTTTTTCTTACGTTTGATGACTGGCAGGCCTTCTTGTTACATTACAAACACGATATTTCCTTCTCATTGTTCCACAATGAGTCACTTCAACCTTCAGACCTGTTCCCAACAAGAAAAACTGAGGTTATAAAACTGTCACATGTAAAAGTATCTATATGTATAAAGCCTGTTCACTACCATAAAACCGCAAATAAATTCTGAACAGATAGAAAATCTGTAATACAGATAATGGTATATTAACAAAAGATTTAATATAATATTCCTAATAATGGTTATAATCACAACAGACCTAACTCCAAGCCTTTTCCCTATTCTATCAAACTCTACATGTTAAAAACATAGAATAAAATTTGTAAAGCCTGTAGGTTAAAAAACAAAGTATTCCATTAATAAAAAACCTTATAATAAATTCAGATACTTATGCTGGGAGAGGGAAGGAGAAAAGGGAGTTGCAATAATTCTCAAGATATTCTATAACCTTCTGTTAACCAATGTCATAAAACAATGTGTGTACTACTGTTTCATGAGAAACTATTTGTTCTGTAAGCCTTC